GCAGTGGATGAGTGTTTCCCTTTCCCCACATCCTCTCCAACATTTGGTATCATTTGTTCTCTTGATCTTAGCCTTTCTGACTATGGTAAGATGAAATCATAAAGTGGTTTTAATTTGCATTTCCCTAATTAGTGGTGTACATCTTTTAAGATGTTTCATAGCCGTCTTCTTCTTTGAGAACTCTCTGTTCAGTTCCTTAGCCCATCTTTTAATTGGGTTGCTTCTTGTCTTGGTTCTGTTTTTTGAGTTTGTTATATATTCTGGTTATTAAACCTCTGTCGGATGTGTTGCTGGTGAAGATTTTCTCCTATTCTGTGGGGTTTCTGTTTGCTTCCTTGGTTGCTTCCTTTGATGTACAGAAGCTTTTTCATTTAATAAGGTCCCATTTCTTAATTCTTGCCTTTGTTTCCTGAGCAATTGATGTCCGGTTTAGAAAATCCTTTCCTACACCTATATCTTGTAGGCTTTCCCCAATGTTTTCTTCTAATAGTTTCAGTTTCAGGCTTTACATTGAGGGTCTTTGAGTCATTTGAAATTGACTTGTGCAGGGTGAAAGATAGGGGTTTAGTTTGATTCTTCTACAAGTGGAGATCCAGTTTTGCCTGTACCATTTGCTGAACCTGCTGTCTTTCCTCCAGTGAATATTCCTGGCCCCTTTGTCAAATATCAGGGGGCTGAAATTGCATTTACTCATATTTGGGTCTTCAATTTTGTTCCATTGATCTTTTCTATTTTTGTGCCAGTGCCATGTTATTTTTTATGACTATAGCTCTGTAATACAGCTTAAAATCTGGTATAGTAATCCCGCCAGCATTGCTCGTAGTGCTCAGGGTTGTTTTGGCTATCTGAGGCCTTTTGTGCTTCCATATGAATGTTAGGATAGTTTTTTCCAATTCTGTGAAAAATGTCATGGGGATTTTTATTGGCATTGCATTGAATCTATAAATGACTTTTGATAGGATGGTCATTTTCACAATATTAATTCTTCCAATCCATGAGCATGGGAGGTCCTTCCATCTTCTGATG